TGAAATAGCCTAAAAACTACAGCAGTAACTCATGGTCATACTTTCATGTAATGGCAAGTAATTCCATCTCTAGCTGTTCTTCAAGTTTCTGTTTTTTCTTAGTTCTTTATACCTTAATTGTTCCAGGATTACTTAAATTTTGCTCAAATTATGCTTTGCAACTGACACTTTATATTCTGCTAATTTCCTCCTCAGAGGAATTTATATTCCCATTATTAGAAATAAACTTAAATTATATCTCTATCCAAAAGAAAGAAAAATAACCTGTTTGGTCATTTATACATTTGAAAATTATGATGAACTTCTTCTTTGCTTTGACATAATATGTTGTCACTATCGAGTATATTTCTAGTTTATAGTATGTCTTCTCTTTGGGAATTTAAAATACTTCAAATAATTTGGGCTTTGCCTGATTCCCCCAGAATTGTACAGTATGACTGATAACTGCCTTTAGAATCCCTAATAGCTAAATTACAATTATTATGCAAAGTCCTACAATAGACAGTTATATGGATTGTTAAACGACTTTGCCTTTTTTGCAAACTATAATCATTTTCCTTTATTAGCTGAAGGATTTCATAATTTAAGGAAGATGAGAAACCTATAAGTCACGCTTTCAAATAAGGAACATGGATATTGCAAACATTAAATTCCCCCATAAAAATGTTAAGGCATCATTAAACTAGGTTCAGATTAATACAATTCAGTCAACTCTAGATAGATATCTCCCATAATAAGCTGAAACAATACCTAGTGATCTAAGATGTAAAATATTTTACTACAGCCAATTTATATACCTATAAAACATACAGGTATCATTCAACCTCTTTATTAATAGTGCATGCCTTGTATTAAATCAAAACCATTTTAAAGGCCCCTCCCCGTTGTCATTCCCTTCCTCAGTGTTGCCCCTCATTATGTGTTACCTCAATGAAGCTCATCCAAAGTGAATGACAGCATCTTTTTTACTAGAAGCAGCATAGGCAATTCCCAGCCTAGTGATACAGCTTAACTATGTCCGAGATTTATAGACACACTTGCTATCCTCAACCTACAAGATTCTATGGCCTAATGTTGATGTATATGTTTCTCTCTAAGTAGATGTACTTTTCTCACTTTGGAAATCTGAAATTTATTGTTTTTTAGATTTTTGCAATTTGCTTTACATGTGAATTCTATTCACAAGAAAGTTGATGTTGGGACAACATCGTGTTCTGTACTATTTTGAAGCCGCTTGGAAGAATCCTTTTTTCGCTGTTTCTCCCCAATAAGAAAGCCAAACATTTCATATTGGTTGACTTGCTGAGAATTTTAATACGTTACCTGTTCTGGTTATCTATTGCCATGTAACAACCCCAAAACATAATGGTTTAACAACCGCAAAACAACAATATTTATTATGCTCACAAATCTGCAATCAAGGCAAGATTCTGTGGGAATAACTCTTCTCTGTTCCACCTGGCATCTGTGGCATCATCCAAGTTTAGAGGCTGGAATTACCTGATTTTTTGCTCATATGATTGATGGTTGCGTGGTCCCTAACCACGCATGTGGTAATCCCCAGCTTGGTGCCTTCAGGGCAGCCAGATTCATACTTGTTAACTCATGGTTCCCAAAGCAGAGTCCCAGGGAGGAACAGATGGGAGCTCCAGCTCCTTTTCCAACCTGTTCTCATAAGTCCTACCCATTATTTCCACCTCATTCCGTTTGTTAAAAGAGAGTCAGCAAGGATGATCCATAATCAAGGGGTGGGGAATTAGACTTAACTTTTTGATGGGACAAGTGTCAAAAAAATGCGTGAACATGTTTTAAAACCATCACATCATTAAAGGGGACATTATCGACAACTTTTAAATATCACTCTGAAAAATAATCAACTGTTCATTTCTAAAGTTGCTTCACAGAAATCACTTTTAAAATGTAAGTTCTTTTTTATGTAAAGTAGTGTTTTTTCCAGCTTTAATGAGGTATAATTGACAAATAAAACTGTAATGTATTTGGTGTACAACATGATGATTTGATATACAAATACATTGTGAAATGATTACCACCATCAAGTTAATTAACACATCTATCACCTCACATATTACTTTTTTTTTTTTTTGATGAGAATGCTTGTTCTTATTACTATTCCATAGACTCCTTATAACAAGATATGTCATCCCAGGTCATCTTGCTAAAAAATCGAAGTATAATAAATAAAATTTTAAACTACATACAAATATAAGTAGTATTCTTAACAGAAATTTTGAACAACTTAATATGTTGTTTTTAATGCAAAATTATCCCAAATGAATTTTTCTTTAACTGGGAAAATAATTTTAAAGAATGAAGACCAAATATCTAAAGATGAGATTATCCAAGAGAATAATAATGACAAAATAAAACAACAAAAAAATTAAAGTATAATGGTTAAACTGACTTATATGTATACATATATATATGTATAGTCCATATTGAGACTATAAAAGATTAATAAAATCCCTATAAATAGTTGACCAAAAAAAGGGTATGACTGAATTTGCTAGGTAACATTACACAGTAAAAGTTTATTTCTCATTTACATAGCAATCTAATCTTAATGTTCCTAGTTGATAGGAAGCTTTCCTCACTTAAGCTTGATGTATTAGTGCCAGCCAAAAGAGGACTGTGCTTCATTACACAGTGGTTATCATGAAGTTCAGTAGTGGAAGATAATTATCGCCTTTGCCAGAGCTTCAAGAAGTACACTTTGTTGTGTATCTTCTATGTTAGGAAAGGTAGCATGTGGTACACATTTCTAGGCAGTGATCAATGGTTTTGCCAGTTGGTCAGAGCTCTGTAAGAGATAAGACTGGAAGATCAGTGACAAGGACTGGAGGAAAGTGTGTGAATGGAGCTCTTAAAGAGAGCATAAAATATTTACATCTTTGTATATCATGTTAATGCCCGTCAGAGAGGATCCACCAATGAGAAGTCACTTTACAACCAGATGGACAGGATGACCCGTCCTGCAGATAACACCCTGCCTCTTTTCTTGGCCACCTTTTTGCTTAGGAAATGGACCCGTGATAACAGTGGCCGTGGTGGCAGGGATGGAAGCAATGCATGGGCTCACAGTATGGACTTTGCCTCAATATAGCTGATTGAGCATGTCACTTCTAAGTTTTCAACCAGCCAGTATCAGAAATGGAGCCTCTACCCTGGATATAGCATCGTTTCTTTGGGAGCTGAGTGGGTGGATAACGGGCAATAGAATAAATGGTGGCATCCAGATTCTGCTGTTCCAGGGTTCTATTATCTGCATTGATATTGATGGGCCCAGTTCAATGGCAACATCCCTACTGCCAACTCTGACCTGTAGAGCACAGTCACTATGAAGCCTCTCAAAGTTGTCTGTGCCCCCCTTACCGGTGCATTCCTCACTTCCTTAGTAAAGGAGGTTCCTCTGAGTTGTCCCAGGGAACACAGTCAGATGGGGGGCTCTTGGGTCCAACCTACCATGTCGATTCTGACTCCCCCATCTTTATGAAAGTTCTGAGCTATTTTATATACTATCACACAGTGTTCTGTTATTTCCACTACTTTTACTCTAGTATATCATCTGAGTCAGACATCTAATGAACAGCAAAGCTATATGGATGGGCTATAGGTGTCGCGTCTAAAACTTGGAATCATGACTCATGGTGAGTAATGCCATGTCAATGAATTCTCTCCTATAAAGCCTAATAATCTGTGTCACCCCTCCCCAATTCTAGTCTACCACCCTCTACTCAAGATCTTCCCCCTTGGGCCCCAGGCTCTGGCTGATACACATTAACCAAGTGTGTGTAGCATTGCTTGTACTCCAAGTTTAACTTCTCTGAGACCTAACCTTAATTCTGAGCAATTTGGCTCAAGTTAAGCCTAAGACTGCAACTTGAAATGCAATGGTGGCAAGTTCAGGAAGAATAGCAGCAGTGGTACTGAAGTCCAGGAGGTAAACAGTTGATTTCTGAAGGAAACGGTACTCAAAGTGATCTGAGAAGGCCCAAAATGTTTGTATATATTACAATATTTCTTTCAGGGAAATAAGGCCTTAAAGGGTATAGATTTACCCACTAGTTTTTACCTTTTTCTTTCCTTATGATGTATGAATTTCTATATTAACTAAAAAAGACTAATCTTTTTTTTTCTTTTTTTTGGTAAGGAAGATTGGCCCTGAGCTAACATCCGTTAACAATCTTCCTCTTTTTGCTGAGGAAGATTAGCCCTGAGCTAACATCTGTGCCCATCTTCCTCTATTTTGTATATGGGACGCTGCCACAGAACGGCATGATGAGTGGTGCATATGTCTGTGCCCGGGATCCGGGCCTGCGAACCTCAGGCCATTGAAGCAGAGCATGTGAACTTAACCGTTATGCCACCCGGCCAGCCCCTAAAAGAGACTAATCTTTTGATATAAAAAAGGTTCTTAGCTGTATAAGTTAATTTCTCTGTGATAATTACCTTTGTTAGCATAGCAAAACAGGAAAGGCAGATTGTTTCATCATCAGACCAACTACAAACTATGTACTCATGGACAAGGAATTTAACTTCTTAAGGCCTAAATTATATGTAAAATTTGTGTAATATCAAGTAAGTCCCTGGATTATCGTAAAGACATTTTAAAAATTAAATCCATGCATTTCTAGTAAATAGATCATGAACTTTCACAAATTGATAAATTAAGCTCTATAATATATTAATTATATGAATATAACTATATTTTTCATCCAAAAGAAATAAAATAAAGGTAAACTGAGGCCTATGGAATGGTAGTTTAATAAAATTACATAAGCAGAGTTTATTTAGCAAGGCAAACCATATAGCAATCCCCCAAAAGCTTATACTGAATGCTATTTTGTGTAATAAAGAAAAAGTGAAGCATGAAGCAGAGTGTACAAGTTACAAATAACTGAAAAAGCAAACGATACATATTTGAAAACATAGCTGTGGTTCGTGTTCAATTGTTTCATATCTCTAAGAGAATTATTTTTTTAAATTGCATACAAAGGGAAAATTTAATTATCATATGAACGTTTGAAACCCTCTGATATAATAAATCCCCTCGGGTCGCTTGTCTACTAAACAGACTTCCGTCTCTTTCCAAATACATTATTGATCAATTTGGCCACTGATTTAGATCCACTGGGTCTTCTCTTTTCTTTGAGTTTGCAGTTTGTCAGGATATCTTTGATAATTCTGATAAACATCATTTCCACCTCCAGAGACTGCTCTGCTGCAGACAGTTCACAGAATTGGCATCGGTTATCCAAGGCCAATTTTTGCCCTTCTTCCCAGCCAAGCTCTCGCACGTGACGGAGATCTTGCTTGTTACCAACCGAAAGCACTACTGAATCCACAGCTCTGACAAACAGATAAACAATTCTTTGGCAAAATTGTTTTAACAACTCTTTTTTTTTTATTAAGTAGGTTTATATCAAAAATAATTATGGACCCAAAAAAAATATATTGTACATGTATGTGTGTTATTTACGGTTGTGTGTGTGTGTGGGTGTGTATGGCACATATCCCCATTCGCTTACAAAAATTATTTTAGATAGAACGTAATATATGACACAGAGGCAACAAGGCTCCTAAAGCTTAGGATTTGAAATGATACAAACCTTTTCTTGGATGATTGCTCTGTTTGCTAACAAGGCATGATTGTTACTTTTCCCGCTGTCAATTTCCTTATACGTAAAAAATGGTAAAAAGAGTCCTCATTACACAGAATTCTCATAGAAATTAAATGAAAAGATGGATATAAAAATACCTCGCACAGTGCCAGGCAATGAAAGATGCTTCCTAAGTATTATTTTTAACTTCCTTATCAATTGGAAGAGGACTAACTAATGTGTCTTTACTAAATAGTTACTGTAATTGAACAATTTAGATACAGTTTTCCTAGGGAAAAATATTATGCAATACTCACTGCTATTTGTTTTTGTTGACATCCATTATAACATACTCCAGAGAAAATTTTACAATCTCATGACCTTGTACAATTTTTCTATTTATTTAAGAAATATGTTTCTTTGTTAAGATAATGTCCTCTATAAATATTAATATATTCTCCTTGGTTACAGTGAAACATACCCAAAACAGAGTTTCACTTGAAGAATATAGCATGACTATTAGTCATTAAATGACATGGAACTCTGCCAAGTTGTCTAAATAGGGAACAAATGGGTAAATGCAGTCTTCAACTCTATCTAAATAAATAGATACTGTCCCCAGATTCCACTAAAAGTTCGTTTCATTCACATGACAGTGTGAGCTGTGAGGGGAAAAGCATTGTATGTGTTGGACTTTTGAGGGTATTAATAATATCTTCTAGATAGTTCAGAAAATTATTGTAAAGGATTAATGGGGAAGGATAAGTAAAATATTTTGAAGGGTGAATCACAAATATCAGATGTAATTCTATAAAACAATGCCATATTTTGCTTTCCTAGTTTATCTACAGATTGAGAATTGGAAATACTCTAAGAATTATTTAGTCAGTATATTAAGAAGATTGCCTAAAAATGTCAAATGTATATTTTTTTACTTTTATATGTTTTTGAATATTCTTGAGTGATTATTTTGATTTGGAGAAATATCAAAGGAATTTTATTACTGTCCCTTACCTAAGTCATGGTGTTTAAATATAAGGCATTTAATGCTTGAAACAATGGAGTTCGAAAAATCAGTAATATTATAGGAAATCAGAGTACGAAGGACTTTAATAAAATCACATCCTTTCTCCTACCATACTTCCATCAGTTTTACAATCAGAAAAATGAGATCTAGAGATTAAAGGGTTTATCTAAGGTCAATCAGATATAAACAAGAATTTACATCAACTGACCCCAGGGAAATACCCTTTATCAATTATTATCTGATGGTTTCTTGATAGTGGGCATTTAAAATAGATATAAAAAGCACATATTCCAATTTACAGTAATAATATTGTGCTTTTCTGCTTCCCAGATTAAAATGTTATTTTAGACTCTAAGGGCAAACCTGGTTAGGAGCACAAAGAATCCCTTACATCAGTATGTTGAACAAAAATAAATATTTTAAATGGGAAAGGCTAAAACAATAAAAAATGAGGTAAATGGGGGCCAGCCCTCTGGCATAGTGGTTAAGTGCACGCGCTCCACTGTTGGTGGTCCGGGTTTGGATCCCAGGCTGCACCGATGCACCGCTTGTCAGGCCATGCTGTGGTGGCGTCCCATATAAAGTAGAGGAAGATGGGCGTGGATGTTAGCTCAGGGCCAGTGTTCTTCAGCAAGAAGAGGAAGGTTGGCAAGGATGTTAGCTTAGAGCTGATCTTCCTCACAAAAAAAAAAACAGAGGTAAATAGGAAACTCTATGTTTAAACCTATATTACTAATGCAAGAATGGTTTAAGACACAGTTATGTCTTTCTTCATAGTTATTGTGTCAAGACAATTAACAATGGAGAATTGTCGATCAGCTCTTTGTTTTAGGAGGTGAAATGGAGAAAAGTGTATTCTCATATTTCGAATTTTAATGTTTTGATTATGCTATCTATTTTGCTTTGATACATTGAACATCCAGTGACTAGGAATTGGATGCCAAATGTAACAAATCTGGATTTATTTAGTATCCCTAACCTTTTTGTGGGAATGAAAGGAAAGGTTGAAAAGCAAGCTATCTTGTGAACAGAGGACGATTATTTTGCAAGTGAGTGTCATGTTAACAATAGATGCCGTCTTGTAAAATAGCCATTTACTCAGGGCAAGTAACTGTTTATGTCAGCCAGGACATAAAGTATTCTCATCTTATTCCTTTTACTACATGTGTAACTCCTGTGGAATGGAAGGTGAATTGTTCAGGGCTGTTAAATTTTGTAATTGGAAGGCTGTATTAAACTCTTCCTAATGATGCTTACAGCTGTACCATGATTTACGAAAAAGAAAGGAGAATGAAAAATATCTTACCTTTTACAATGACTGGTTTGTGGCTCCCGAATTCTGTAGATCAATGTTTTTGCAAAAGCAAAGGAAGACCTGTCACTGATGTCATACACAATAACAAACCCATCTGCCCAATGCAGCTCACTTGTGAGGGAAAATTTTGCTCTCTGTTGCTGAAAATAAACCAAGAACATTGAAAGTGGTGGAATCTGATGCCTGTATTTTTACACTTTAGATACTTAATTAATGGACACCCACTTTACCTGAAAGAGACTTTAATAAGCCAAATACTGATATTGTCTAAAATGTAGTTTCTTTGTTTCTCTCTCTTATCATCTTCTTTCTTTAATTAAAAGTGATCCAATTTTAAAAAATACAGAAGTATAATAAAGTTATATCTATCTCATTTTATAACTTTTCTCTAAGAAAATATCTCCACTTTTTCTGAAAAATTTTATAAGCTATATTAATTTCCTTTTGAACTAATATCCACACATTTGTTTTGAAAACAGATAATAGTCTCTATCCATATTAATAAATGGAGTATCTGGGGCCACCCTGTGGCCTAGTGGTTAAGTTCAGCGTGCTCTGCTGCGGCAGAGTTCAGTTCCCAGGTACGGACCTACACCACTCACCAGCGGCCACGCTGTGGTGGCGACCCACATACAAAATAGAGGAAGATTTGCAGAGATGTTAGCTCAGGGAGACTCTTTCTCAACCAAAACATAATAATAAATAAATAAATGGAATATCTATTAATTTTTGGCACTAGATTTAAATCAGTAAAAAAACATATTGATAAGATTTAATTAAAAAGATTTAAGGGATATTTTATGTACCTAAAAGAATCTGTCCCATGGAGTTGTTTTGAAATCTTGAACAACTGGCCATTTCTTCTCTTATTTACAGAATCATATTTTAACTTTTTTGAAGTTAAATGGACAAAGGGGTTTAGACTAGAAGTCTGTCTTACTTATGCTTTATTGACAGTGGTTAGTAAAAAATGCAACTTAGTGAAAATATAAACTGAATTGATAAACCATTAAACTATTAACTTCTGACAGCTGTTCTGTGACCTGATGGAAATATATTATGAATGCAGCCTAATATTGCCATTTTAAAGATATTTATAAGATGATAATTGTCATAAATTTACAGAGAAGCTAGATAATGGAATTTGTAACACTAAAAATAATTTCTTAAAATTTTAATAATTAAAATTGAGAAGAAACTTCAGTTTTAAGACTGGCAACTTTATACTTCCCCTTATCCAATCTTCTACAAATCATGATTGAAAAAATAAAAGGGTATTTTGTTTTACTTACTTGGGAACAAGGGTCATATATTTCTAGATTCAGTTGCTTCCCTTCCAAATACAAATGTTTATTATAGATAGATTCTGCAAAATATGCGTATATCATTGTTAGTATGGAAATACGCTAGAATTTCCAAAAAAGATAGACTCATATTTGGATCACAGTCTTGCAAATTCAACTGGTCATACTTTAGTGGAGTAGTACAGTGGCTTTTCTTTATTGTTAGTGGTCAAAATAATATAGATTTGTTATATTTGTTCTTATGTATTTCTTACAAATGAACTTCACCATCATATCTATTCAACTGCATGCTTTTGTGCTATTATACATATTTTCCATCCTATTACTATGGATAAATTATCTGTGTTTCTCTCTAAGGCCAATCCATTCACTATGAACTAGTTACCATTTCCTCTGACCTACTGGAAGACATGGCTCCACCAATTCTGCCTCTTCTGCATCATAAATTTTTCCTCTTTACTATATCATTGCTAACAGCTCAATTTCTCCTAACTTAATCCTTCGGATCCCATAATCTCTTCCAACTATTGCTCTATTTCTCTGCTGGCCTTTTGGTAAGTATCTACACCCCTGTGTCCAATTGCTCTCCTCTCATGCTCTTCAAATTATTTCAATCACACTTCAACTCTAATTGCTTAACTAAAACTGTTCTTATCGTGGTTATGGTTTTAGACTCTATGGTTGGCTCCATATCTTGATCTTACTCACCCTATCATAGCATGAATGTAGTTGATCACATCCTCCTCTTTAAAATGTTTCTTTTACATGGCTTTCAAAGCAACACACTCTCCTGGTTCTTTCTTTATTCCCTATTGGTCTGTATTAATCTTTGTGTGTGTGTGTGTGTGAGGAAGATCAGCCCTAAGCTAACATCCATGCCAATCTTCCTCTTTTTGCTGAGGAAGACGGACCCTGAGCTGACATCCGTGCCCATCTTCCTCCACTTTATATGGGACGCCATCACAGCATGGCCTGACAAGCGGTGCATCGGTGCAGCCTGGGATCTGAACCCAGGCCGCCAGCAGTGGAGCATGCTCACTTAACTGCTAGGCCATGGGGCCGGCCCTTGTATTAATCTTTTTTATTTGTCCCACCATATCTTCCCACACTCAAAATATGGATCCAGTTTATGAATCTCTTCTCTATCTATACTCACACCTGTGCTAATCTCATCCAGTCAGGGTTTTTATATAACAATTATTGCTGATGAACCCAATTAATATCTAAAGCCTAGATATCTTCTCTGAACTCCAGACATAAACAACTACTGCTATTGGGCATCTCTATTTAGATACCCAATAGACATCTCAACCTTAACATGCTTAAAACTGAACCTCTGGTCTCCCTGCAAAAACTGCATCGTCCACAGTTTTCCATTTCATTAAATGACATACCCACAACTCTAGATTATCAAGTTAAAAGACTTAGGGTCATCATTGAATCTTTTTTCTCTTATGTCCCATATTTATTACATTAAAAATTTCTTTTTATTCTACCTTCAAAGTATATTTTGGATTTATCTGCTTCTCATCACTTCCATTGCTAACTCTGGTCCAAGCCATCGTTATTTTTTGGTTAGATTATTGCAAAACCTTCTAACTCATCTCTTCACTTTCATCCCTCCCCGAACTCCTTTCCTGTGCCTAGTCCATTCTCAACATAGGAGCAAAAGTGAACCTTGTAGCCAGATCACATCACTAGTCTGATAAAATCGTTCTAATGACTCCCCACCTCACTTAGATAAACCAAAACCTTTAAAACGTCTGAGAATATCCCTCATTATCTAGTCTCCCATTACTTATGAGCTCCATAGACCTCTCTGGTTATGTTCTCTCAAATTCTCTCCACTCAAGCTACCCCGTCCTCTAAACCATTCCTCAAATTTTTCAGGAAGTTCCTGCCTCAGAAATTTGGTAATTGGTTTTTCTGCCTGGAAGATATCTCCAGATATCTTTACAGTTCACTTTTCACCACATTCATGTCTCTGTCCAAATGTTACCTTCTCAGCAAGGTCTAACGTGACTACCTTACTTTAAATCACCACACACCATGTTAGTGCCACTCTCTAATGTTTTCTTTTTCTTCGTAGCACTTATCATCATATGACATAATTTATACTTAATTTTTTTGATTGACTAACTCTTCCTTCCAGAATATAAATCTTATGAGACTTGGATATTTGTCGTTTTTGTTCACTGCTATAGCCTCTCTATCTAGAAGAATACCTGGGACATGGTAGGTGCTCAATAAATATTTGTTGAATGGATAAAGGACTTCATTTCTGTAACTGTTCCTCCAGTGTTTTAACAAAAGATCTACTTCTCTCCAAAATGGCATACTGACAAAAAATGATGAGCCATTCTGGCAAATACTCTGTAACCCAGAGAAGGAAGATGTAGCAGACATTTGGGGAGCTAACCTCAGGGGGCTAGGGGTGAATTTTAAAATCCATCTAGGTTACATTTAATGAAAGTGTTACAGTTTCATTAAACCTTAAAATATGTTTTCAGACAGTTCCTTCTAAACTTCACAGCTTTACTACTGACTGTGAACCATAAAATTTCCTTCCAGACGTTTAAAAATATCCACTCTCAAAGCTCAAAAGCTGCCAGCAGGGGTCACCAACTCTTAACTTTTTAGAATTTTATTATTTTCCCTTCTAGTCTTCCTTTACAAGCTGGAGTCCTTTTTTTGCTAGTTTGTCCGCATACAGTGGTGACGTTTGCTCATTTGGTTGTCTTTTCAAAATATCTCTAGGTCTTATATTTTTAATAGAGATGTAACAGACAGAAATGTGTACACTTCATTTGTTTGTATAACTATATCTTACCAAAGATTAAGGTGATTTTTCGTTGTTGTTGCTATTGTAGATTTTTGGGTGTTGTTTTATTTAAGTTTTATAGTTCTGGAACATTTTCTCACGCCTGACTCCTAGCTTGTGTCAATCTTTTTGACTGAAGTTGTTGACCTGAGAAATGAAGCGATAAGAATTTCTCTTTCTATATGTTTCTTTGTTCTGTAATCAGTTTCTAGCACTTGCGCTACAAAGTTCAGGATGTTAGATGGACTGAATACTATGTTGGATACATGTAGGAAACTACACAATGCAACACTTTAAAGTTATTTTCTAAAATACTCTAATAATGGTACCTCATGAATGAATGCTAAAGATTTCTGTTGTTTATTTCTTTCAGAAAAACACACAACTTTCTCTTACTCTAAATAAGTGCTATTGAACCAAAAAATCATTTTCCTTTCTCCCAATTCTCATATTTTTTATAAATCAGGTGTTCTTGTTTAAAAAAAAAAAAGAAATGTTTTTCCCCCATGCCTTCAATCAGGTAAGATATTAGTACCATTATGTTGATTAATTGCTGAGCTAAAAATATTCTCAAAACACTGGCAAAATTCCCCACCTTTTATTAGTTCCCCACTATGATATTTCCCATATGTCATGCTAAGTCTGATCAAAATAACTGAAATTTTCAGTAGAGTGGGTGAAATTATCCTAAGATTATATCAAGCTGCCCTGGCATCTGTTTTAGAATTTCTCTGAAACTTACATTAGCAATCTAGATGATTATGATATGATCTTTAATCAAGGCATAAATTTCCTGTTATTTTCACATGGTTTTACAATTAAAATAAGTTTTATTTTGTACTTACTTGATCTTTTATAATTAATTTTTTCTTATCTTTCGACAGGTGTTTATTTAATTTCAAAATTGTTTCATAGTTTACAAAAATATTCTATTTCTAGACTGAAACCAACTGACTGTCTAATCTATCTCACTTAACATCAAATTGGGTGAATTTTATTATTAAAGAACATTAATTCAAGTACCTATTTTGGCATTTTTAACCAGAATCTGTGAATAAATAAGTTGCTTAAAAGTGCAAAAAATGAAAGATTCTATGAAAATGCTTCTCTTCTCTTAATTGTGGTTTAAATACTACACTGAAGTTTTAAGGTGAAAAAAGTCTAAAATAGAGACTTACCAAAATTAGAAGCATATTCTCCAATGAATCGCTTGGTAAGAAATCTTACTATGAGGGCTGCAAAACAAACAAGCTGGATTTAGGGTCTTTTCTGTTGACGATACACGTTATTTATTTACGTATATAAGGTTTTATCTTTCAGCTCAAAAATTATCAAGCATTAATGAAGACTTTAAAGCTTTACTAAGTTCTAGTCTAAACATTTCCACTGTACGATCATAAAGATTAGGAGACCAGAAGGAAAATGACCTTAGACTGCTTAGACCCATTCAGACCACTATGTAATTAATTCATGAATGCAAACACACAAGGCAACTTACCTATTGTAACAGAAACAGAGTTCTCATTAAATCTGAGATACAAGAGCTATAACATCTCTTTATTTTCTCTATCAAATTAAATCTGGCTCCAAGGTGCTACATGCTAATAGTGACAAGGACAATATCAAGTATTTACAGTTAAGGATATAGGGACTTCAAAATCCAGGAAATGGAGAAAGGACCTCTAGTGTCGGTTTATCTTATTGCAGCTTCTGGGTCTGGCCAGTTGTTATGGTTTGCTAGGCTTAGGTGGCTCTTGGTGGCATCCTCACCACCATCATAATGTGATCAAAAATAAAACAAAAACATGGCCTCCACAGTCAGGGCACCTGTTGCTCAGTTCCCAGGCATCACCACAGCCCTGCCCCTCCAAAGTTCTTTCCCTTCAATGACGCTGCGTTTAAAAAATAATCCACAGATCTGCACGCATCTCTCTTTACCCTTAGTCTCAGGGCAGAAGAATCCTTTCAAGGTCGTTGTTTGGCCACTAGGGGCCGTGGGGGCAGTTGTGTTGGAGTCAGAAGTAGGTGGGACAGTGATGGAGGGATTTCCTGTTACTTTTATGAATTCTAAACATCAGTAGAACAAGACACAAATTAATACTTCAAATAGTTATCTTGCTATGCCTGTCTATAAATTCCATAAATATGTAGTTAATTGTATTACTTGCTAGAAAAATGAAAACTAATGGAAAATAATATATAGTTTATATGTAGTTATATCATGTTTTATATATGACACATGTATATGTCAATATATGTCACCCTTTTTGCACTCGACACCATGCCATAGAAAACATCAGCACTCACCCGATTTGCCTGTTCCTTCACCACCTAGGACGGCAAGCTTCACATCATTCATCTTGCTTTTCTGCTCTTTTTTGGTCAGTGCTGTGTTCTGGAGCTGTACTGACTTGAGCCAAGCATGTGTTTTTTTAAGTCCTTTTTATTAAAGCTGCTCTCGTTTATCTAAGACCAACTCCGCCCCATACTCCTACCATCCAATAACAACTTTAAAAATGTTTTCCTACAGTAGTTTTGAACATATTCCATTAAAAAAGAAAAACATTGGAGTTAATATTTAGACACTAATGCCTATTAAGCCGAGAGTTATGAATTTATAACAGAAGCTTACCTCCCAACCCCCTATTTTTGTGTACTTGGAATCTGCCTTCTTCTAGGACGTAAAAAAATGATCTCTCTTTGTTAAGAAAGTTTTTAGAGGATACGTAAATGTTCCTGTAAACGTACTTTGATTGGATCAGTGTTGCTTTTTCTGTTAATACCTGAACATGTATCTTCTCAGGCTTCTTCTGTGAAGGACAAGGTGGGATAAGTTACCTCAGTCGTGAAAAGAAACGGGAGGAGGAAGAGGATGTCTCCTTGTATGATTGGTCTAGGGTTGACAGCAATGCCCACGAATACGCAGCCATGATTTTGAGTCACATGAGGCTCTCAAGGAGGAATGTGCCCACTACAGAGTTTCACCTTTCCAATATCTTCCTTAATAAGTAACTTCTTCTCTCTCTGTTTTTTTTTTTTAACTTTATGCCAATAGACACTAGTAAGATTTCTGGAAAAATCCAGAGGGTCAATCACCTTCATGTTGTTTAAAGAGCAATAAAGAGAAATCTGTCATGTTTCCTTCTGTAGTACTTTGTAATTAGGAAACAGAAATGAAAAAAGGAAAGAAAATTTGGAAGGGGTATTCTGACATAATTCACTCCTGCTGTGAAATGAAGAAGTAAATTTAATACGTAAAATGATGACTCATATTTCTTTTCCGCAATTTTCCCTACTATTCCGAGTCCCCATGTCACTTTCTTCCCCTCTCCCTCCCCATTTGGTGAGAGTTGAGAAAAGAGCACAACAACAAATAGAAGAATTCAATCTTTGAGTACCAATTTAGAGTTTAATTTCCTGGCTGGATCGATCACTGGAATAATAACATGCTTTTTAAAAATGCTTTCATTTAACAAATATTTCTTAACTGCCACTGTATATTAAAGCTATGTTGGGTTTATTCTGTTAATGATTTAATAGCGAATTTTCTGCCCTGATGGAGTCTACAGTCTAGTAACAGAAAAATGGAAACAATTAGAATTACAATAAATATGATCATTGCTAAAATAGAGCTCTGACCAAAGGCTGGGAACAGCAGATCAGTGGATAGAAAGATCTTCAAAGAGTAGGTAATGCTGGAAACATAAGCAGGACCCATAGAGAGAGAGAAGAAAAAGTGATTGGGGATTAGGGAGATGTGTCTATTCCAAAAGAAGAAACTGACTCTGAAGAAAAAGGCTAGAGAGAGTAGGACAATTTGTGAGATCAGCAAGGTAGCAGCTGAAACAACTTGGAATTTTCCTTTTATTACAAATTATTAAAAAATAAAACAAATAAGCTATGTTGTCTCTTTAATTCATGCACCTGTATTAAAAGTAACAAGAAAGATTTTTTTTTATTAAGAAAGTTTACCAGCTGATTTATTACACTATAGAATTGAATGTTTTCTCTCTATTCAGAGAAATTTTGTTCTTATCTTCTCCAGAAACTTCTGATTGATGTTTTCAGGAAGTTTATTATATCTACTGATAAGAAGGGAACACTTAACTTCATAACATGCACAATGTTGTAAACAACATGTGAATGGTTGCTATCAAGACACCTACATTCTTTCACCATATCTTCTTCCTCCCTAGTGCCATTTGGATTCCAAAAGTAAATCTAGTAAGAAAGCAGCCTGGTGTTGCAATGCTGGTTATAGCGAGGTTATAAACCTAAACGAAGAGAATATAATTATGTATGTACTCTTCTAAGAAACAGAAGTGCCAATATATATTTTTTCAGCCACAGATAAAGGGTGCTAAAATATTAATATTCTGATAGAAACACATTATTATACTACCTAGAATTTTCTCACATCTTCCTAAAGAAATATCTATTCACAATCAAAACAAAATCATTTTTATTACTTCATTCATTTATTGAATGAACAAAAAAATTATTGAGTGTCTACTATGAGCTTTGGCACTGTTCTCAGTGCTGGAAACATATCAGTGAACAAAGCACTCATAGAGCTTACATTCTGGTCATGGGAGACAGATATTAAACATAAAAAAATAAGTACCTAATTGCATATCAGGTAATCATGAATGCTATAATTTCCTCTGTTAGTTTTCTTTCTCTAAAGTCAGGTTAACCAGCTCTTTTCAGCTAATCTCATTTCCCCATAGTTTCTGCTAGAAATGATGCATAATTTCTCCACAAAAAACTTCACATTCATACGAGTGGAGTGATTCAACCAAATCATCAAGGAAAGAATATCTTTGTTCCATAATACTGTTCCAGAACTTTGAAAAGATGGGCTATTTCCCAACTCATTCTCTGTGTCTATCATAATCTAAGCTAGACATAAACGTTGTATGTCAACATACAGAGAACAAAGAAATACAGAGACCAATATCATTTATGAATACAGATCCCCAGATCCTAAATATATTAGCAATTAAATCCAGAAATGTATTTAAAGAGCCAAACATTACAAGCTAGTAGAATTTATTCTAAGAATGTCAAGTTGGTTGAAGAAGAGGGAACTTGGTAGACGATTTAATATATTACCAAGATCAAGGAGAAAAATTATGTGAATAACATGCTGCCAAAATCATTTCATGAAATTTAACAACTATTTTTAAAAAGTCATTTTGTAATCTAAAAATAAGAGATTTTCTTAACTTGATTATATTTATACAATCAAAAATTTATTTAATAAAAAGATTATATATATATATATATATATTTTTTTTTTTTTTGGCTTGAGGAAGATTAGCCCTGAGCTATCATCTGTTGCCAATCTCCCTCATTTTTTGCTTGAGGAAGATTAGCCCTGAGCTGACATCTATGTCAATCTTCCTCCACTTTATATATGTGTCACTGCCACAGCATGGCTGACGAGTGGTGTAGGTCCACGCCTGGGATCTGAACCTACCAACCCAGGCCACTGAAGCTGAGCATGCCAAACTTAACCACTATGCCATGGGGCTGGCCCATAAAATGTTATATTTTTAAAAATCCAAACGTCAAAAAAACCCCAGCGAATACCTATAGAATTATTACACTTAATCTTCCTCTTAAAACAGGATGTTATCTGTTACTTTTAAGCATAGAATTGGTGGCCCTACCCAACACAATGAAGGGAAGAAATAGCATATATGGGAAGGAAGAGACAAAATGGTTACTATCTACAAATGATATTTTTCCTTAGCTATATTGTCTACGTTACTAGTATAGAAAAGACCATTTAGTAAGGTGGCCAGATAAGAGATAAATATACCAAAAGCAATAGTTCCAAATGATAATAATAACAGTTAATACATGTTTAATGCTGTATATAATAGGCAATTTTAAAAATATTTTTCATGTATACCACATTTAATCCTCTGAGAAACTCCATAAGATAGATACCGTTACCGTTATTAACTTCCAGTATAATAGAAATACAGTCCTTTTCACAAAGAAAGAAAGGGAAAAAGGAATGTGAAGACAAATAAAACTAAAAAGGGATGTATAATATTTAGTGACTAATTTCCTAATTCTTTAATGAAGATTATAAAATAATGTTTGAATATATGGGCAAACATGAATATTGTAATTATTCTCAATGTTGTAATTATTACCAAATTAATGTAAAAGTAAAATGTAATGACAATTAAAATCCCAACAAAAATGGTTAACTGAATGTGGGCAGCCTGTATTGGAAAACAAAATATGCAAGAATAATTGAGAAATTTTTAGGTAAAATAGCGAGAAGACAAAATCTCTCTTATGAATCATACTAAAATAATTAAATACTATTTTATTAGAACTGGACTGATAGGCTCATTAATAAAATAGATTTTTGAGTTTAGGAATTATGTAGAAATGTATTTTATTACAAATATAAAGTTTTAAATATGTGCTAGCCTTAAATTGTGTTGGTACTATTAGAAAAATTGCATAGAGGGGCCGGCCGCATGGCTTAGCGGTTAAGTGCGCGCACTCCACTACTGGCGGCCTGGGGTTCGGATCCCAGGCGCACACTGACGCACTGCTTCTCCGGCCATGCTGAGGCTGCGTCCCACATACAGCAACTAGAAGGATGTGCAACTATGGCATACAACTATCTACTTGGGCTTTGGGGAAAAAAGGGAGGAGGATTGGCAATAGATGTTAGCTCAGGGCCTGTCTTCCTCAGCAAAAAGAGGAGAATTAGCGTGGATGTTAGCTCAGGGCTGATCTTCCTCACAAAAATATAAATAAATGAATAAATGAAAAAGAAAAAGTGCATAAAAAAATGTTATATGCCTGTACCTCGTATCATGCAGAAGAATAAATTATGAATATTAAAAATCTTACCGTGAAAATTAAACTAGAAAAGGGTCAAGTTGACATATATATGAGAATCTCCAAATAATCTTAGGGAGGGGAAAGTATTCCTAAGAAAAAAACGAAAAGGCATATAGAAAAATATTTACAGAAAAGCACAATCCAGTGACTTTTCACAGTTGAACTTTAAGTGTTGGTTATGTTAGTCCCATGGGATTATTTACCAAGGTGTGTACGTTTGTAGATTTACGCATAACAAAATAAATATCTACATAGAAATGGATCATTTTTAATCAGAATCGAGGTATTTGTTTCACCTGGAGTTATAATCTAAGTTACTAAAGGAATCAAAGCTCTAACAGAAAACAAATGTTTGTAACCTGGGATGGAAATTTGTCATGGAACAGCAGTATGTGTTTGTTTTAAAGAAGAAGATGGTGTACTAATCTCACAAAACACGTGTTTTGAAGCAGCAAACAGATTTAAACTACACCGAGCGTGTTCGGGCACTTGCATGTTATGTCGGCATTAGGTAAGAGATCTAAAAAGA